CATCGATGAAAACGATCACAAACTGATCTAAGAAGGGACGGAAAACCCGGTTCATCAAGTCCATGAATACCGCGAGTGCATTGGTCAACCCAAATGGCATGACCAAGAACTCGAAAGAACCATATCGAGTAAGAAAGGCGGTCTTGGGAATATCAATCTCCCTAACCCGTAACTGATGATAGCTAGAACGAAGATCAATCTTTGAGAAATACTACGTCCCCTGTAACTGGTCAAACAAGTCATCAATCCTAGGTAGTGGGTACCTATTTCGGATAGTGACCTTGTTCAACTCTTTATAATCTATGCATAATCTCATATTACCGTCCTTCTTCTTTACAAAGAGGACCGGCGCACCCCACGGAGAGTGAATCCAGTGAATAAAACCCTGAGCTAATAACTCGTCCAACTGGGTCTGAAGCTCCCTCATCTTAGCTGGTGCCATACGATAGGGCGCGCGGGATATCGGGGTTGTGCCTGGCTGCAACTCAATACAGAACTCCACCTCTCTCACCGGAGGTAATCCAAGTATGTCCTAAAAGACATCCTGATACTCTGAGACAACTCTAGTATCCAATAACTCAGCACCCTGATCCTGACGCATCACCTCCTCGATGTACGCCAGAAATGACTCCGCAAATCGGTTACCCTGAGAGGTGGCTACAATCGTCTCGGACCCGTCGGACGCTTGCAACTTGAATGTCTTTGCAAAATAGTCAATACTAATATGGTAGGAAGACAACCAATCCATACCAAGGATGACATCGAACTCGGACATATGCAACACTATCAAATCAACTATGAACTCCGACTCGTCTAAACTGACGGTACACCTCCTACAAACGCTCTCCAGAAGCGATACCTCACCTAAAGGGGTGGAAACAGATAGAGGGGTGTCTAGTAGCATTTTAGCCATAAATGCATGCGATATGAAGGAATGCGAAGCTCCCGAATCGAAAAGAATACGGGCGAGAAAGGAATTCACAAAGAACGTACCCTCCACTACTGCTCCGCTAGCTCCATGATCACGGGGAACTACTGCATAAACCCTACCCGTGGCTGAAGACTGCTCTGCTGCTACAGATGGGGAAAATGGGACAATCTGTCCCTGAGGAAACTCCTGAATTGCTCGAACTTGCCAATCAGTCCTCTGGACTGCTGGCGGTGCCTCAAGCCTGTTCTGCTGGCCTTGACCTCTGCCCTGCTGTTGCTGCTGCTGCTGCTGGTGGTTCGGACCCCTGCCTTGCTGAGCTCATGCTGGTGCGCTATGACACTCCGATGCCTTATGCCCGATCTTGTGACAGTTAAAACAAGATCCTTGAAACTTGCGCTGCTGATACGCTCTCTGATCCTGCTGGGGTCCCTTTTTATAAGGGCCCTGATGCTGCTACTGATGCCCAGAGAAAGGTCTCTTGTTCTTGCCCTTGTCTCCGCTCTGCCCTACCTTGGCCTTCCCCTCCTTATCCTTCTGGATCATAGTAGTCTTAATTTCTTGCGAAGTGGCGGCCTCAGTTACCTCCCTAACTGAATAGAATTTCCTCGAGACGAGGTATCGGCGAAGATTAGGGCGAAGCCCTACCAAGAACGTCTGAGCCTGATGCTCTCCTATCTGCCACATTCCTGTGAAATGTAGCAACTCTATGAACCTACTCTCAAAATCTGCAACTGTCATGTCCCCCTGAGTCAACCGGGACAACTCAAGCTCCTTCCCAGTCCGTGCTGCCGAAGAAACGTATTGCCCATCAAAGAAGTAAATAAAGTCCTCCCATGTGAGGGTCATCCTCTGCTCTGGAGTAAACTGAAGTCGGTACTATCTCCCGGAATCTCCCTTCAGGCTGTAGGATGCCAATCTCTGCTTCTGGACTGAATCTACACCGAGTATGTCCAGAATATTGCCCACATCCTCCTTCCACTTATGGGCTGCAAGAGGGTCTGGTGATCCCTGGAATTCTGGTGCCCTCATCTTCTGGTACCTCTCAACCATACGGAGCCAAGCCTCCTGCTCTGTGGCTCTATCTGGGACTGCTAAAGGAACAGCTGCAGGCGCTACCTCTGGGTCTCTCTCTCTCTGATTGGGATGGCTGGTATCCCCTGTGGTGGAACTACTGGAGATGGTGGTGCTGGTGCGATATGACCCACCACAAGCTCCTCAATAGCTGCCATCCTAGCTACTATGGGAGCCATGAGATCAATAAGATATTGTGGAGCCGGCTGTGGCTCAGGTGGTGCCTGCTCTTGCTCGGGTGTAGCCTGCTGCGGCTCTGCCTGAGCAGCTCTGCGAGTGCGAGGTCTGCCACGTCCTGCCATCTCTCTGATCATAAGAAAATACGAGTTTATGAGTCAAAATAGGCCTTCATAAATAACGTATCATAATACAATTTTCATGACATATAGTATTTACACGAATACTTTAAATTTATACAAAATAGTTGTCATAAAAAAAACAAATTCTCAAATTTTGAGATATACGCATATATCGTCCTCACTCATACTAGGAACTCCTTATGGACTCTATACATGAATCCTAAGGAACTCTATCCTAGCACCACGACTCGACACAGGATGATCCTAAAGATATTGGAACTAGAGCTCTGATACCAACTATGACGCCCCTGGGTTCACACAAGGCTGCAGTCCAAGGTAAAACTAAGAATGTCAAACCTGCCATGCACCACACCGTGCAATAACATGTTTCACCATCACAATTAATATCTATCTGGTAGAGTCAACAACATGTGTAGGTACAAAAGCAAGTAAAAGATAATACAAGAAAGACTGATGAAATGATAAAAATCAAATAAATATCTCATCATCCAACATACAGAAATACATAGTCAAGGTCTGAGTAGATAAACTAGAATACTCAACAAGTCTTAAATACAAATATCTGACAAGAAGGAAATAAGGCACACAGCCTTTACACCTTCTAGAACAAGACTCTTAAATATCTAAACAAAAGTCTATTGTGGAACTCCAAAAGAAAATATATAACTAAATAGACACCTGAAGCTAAAATGCATCGCCATCAACCTGTGACTCTTCGGGCTCCTGGCTCGTTACCTGAAAGGGGGAGGGACAACGAGCATCAAAGCGCTAGCGAGTAACATCACAACCAACCCTAAGGGAACATGGCTCATTGTATAAGAAAATACTGATAATACGTAGTAGATCTAAAATCATTGATCTTACTAAAGAGGATTTTAGTATTTAGAAATTTATAACACGAGAATATGTACGTTTAGCAAAATAATCCAAATAAGGAAACCCTCATATATATACCTCGTATATCAAATTGTAAATCCCTAAACACCAAACCTGAGGTTCTAGTACAGGAACAATAAAAAAGAAATACAACAAATATCAGAGCATAAATATAGTGCCATGATATAGTCTACATGAATATCATGTTATTACTTGCATGGATATCATGTAAAAATCTACATAAGTGTCATGTCATAAAGTACTGTGAGAAAGTCATATGCAAGGTTAAGAACTATGTCCGATACAGGAACTATATACTGTAGTTTCCAATCTCGTGGAATAAGTGACAAATGTCAAACACGAGGACTGAAATGGATTATAGTCCAACACGAGAACTTCTATGGATTATAATCCAACACGAGGACTTCTATGGATTTTAGTCCAACACGAGGACTGTGAAATTATGAAAATGTCACTGAGATACATAGTGAAATCTACTTATATCAATTCACACTCAAATCAGTGTGTAAATCCCCAATTGGTACCCTCAGGTCATCTATCATGCATGGATACTTATTAAGACTAAAAACCAGAGTGAGATAATCTAGGCAAACTCTCGAACATGAGTAAAATATACAGAACAGGGATTTTTTCTCCAGACTGTGCGGCGGTCGATCGCCTCGGTCGACCGCGCTCTAATATGAGCCTCGCGGTCGACCACCGCGGCATCGCGGTCGACCGCGCAGAGCATCATGGTCGACCGCAACGGCACCGCGGTCGACCGCAGGAAAAGCCTGCCCTTTCTGCACGCCTAGCGATCGACCGTCGCGGTCGACCACAAGGCAGACAGAAGCCCAAATCTGGGTTTCTGTCAGCAACAAAACCTGAAATAAAATTTTGGGATTTCTACGATAACAAAAATTCTAATGTCTCTAAAATCATACAAAAGAAGAACAACAAATTTTAAGCATGTAAACTACATCCCAATACTCTAAATAGATAAGAAAACATATTAAAAACGTTTTGATAATAGTAAATCGTGATTTAACTCTTGTTTAAGCAATTTCAGATCTAGATCTTCACCAAACAAAACATTTGTGAACTTATATAACTGAAACATTTGATTCTTGCAATCCATATTATATAGAACTCATTTTTATACAAAAATACATTTTGGGCTCATCAAAAACTAATAAAAAATCGAAAGAAATTTGTAGAAAATATGGGTGAGCGATTGGGCGAGATGATACTCGCCTCAGGTGCTGACAAAACCCTTGAAGATGATCCTCCTTCAACCTGAGCTGCGAAATCCCACCGAGAACCGTTCGAATCTTCCCAAAAACGCCAATCGAGCTAGGGTTTAGAGAGGAGAGAGAAGGGGGCTAGGGTTTTAGATTTCAGATCAAAAGAGGTTCTCTTGGGTTGATTAGAATATATACAAAACCCACAACCTGACCTGAAACCCGTTAAGATCCAAACCCAGAAAAAGAAAAACTCTATGTCCGTTGTGCGGTCGACCGCCACGGTCAACCGCCGCGGTCGACCGAACAACAGGAAAAGAGTTATTGTTGTTGCTGGACTATCCATTTGATTTCTCTCACATATAAACACCTGTTGGGTTCCCAAACACTGATAAACGCATTCAACTTATATATATGATTATTTATCACAAAAGAAATATTTATTACTATTAATCCACATATTTTCATTATAAAAATTTCGGGATTTTACAATTAGAATATTATTATCAATTTAATGTTTATGTAACAATAGGTAATACACCAAGTAATCAATCACATTCAGAATTATTAAAAAAGAAATGTTCTCATGCTGCAACTAGTGATCTGCCATACGTGAATTCTGCAGGGAATGGATCCGGTTCTAATCTGAGTTAATATGCAACCTTCATTTTAATGATATAATATTTAAGTACTATTAGTTTTTACTTATCTAACAAGTGTGTATGCTAATAGGTACAAAACGTACTCGTCTGCAAACTTCCAATCAAGCATGCCAAAATTTTGTAGCAGATGGACTGAATTCTAGTAGTACTATTGTCACCACAGAACGAACTACTACTGGTAAGTGGTGTTGAATTTAGTTGAATTGAGCTGAATTGAATTATTTTCCTCTAAAGGTGTAGATAATCTGAATTAAATTTCATTTTCATCAATTACAAATTAGAAGGGTCTACCTAAACTACAAACTCGAATGACAGGGATTAGAGTTAGTGCACATCTTCAGCAATAAAGTGCTAATGATCAGCCAGTAGTAAACACCATAGCTGAAGAGTGAGATGATAATGTGATGTCAGAAATTAATCAAGAGCCTCCTCCAGGTATACAAAACATTATATACATATATTTTGAGAATTTAATATACATATGTGTTATGTTCTTAATAAAAATTATGTCAAATGTACAACCAAAAAGGTGCGAGGGAAGACAAGAGGAGTGAATGCAGATAAGATGTTCTCCTAATTAAATTCTAAAATACCTATGACTGTGACTAAAGGAAATGGCAGACCTACGGGCCCTTATGCTGAGATGTTTGCAAATAAAATTGGTTACACAATTCGAAACTACGTTCACTGAATGTGGAAAAATGGAAGAAGATTGAAGAAGCAGATGTGGAGAACTTGATCAAAAGAATATAGGTTAGTGATGATTTGTTTTGCTAAAGGCATTATATTGGTTGCTTTAATTTGTTATATTTAGTTTGACATGAAATTATGCCTATGCAGAATAAGTTTGAATTTGACATGTCGCTCCCTTGGGTCCAAAGATATGTAATTACAACATGTCAGACCGTATATTGTAATTTTTGTTATAAGTTGAAGAAATATTTTGAGCAGTTTTTAACAATTCGGGAGGTAATTAAACAAACATGAAGTTGTCAAGACTCGAGAAGAATGGAAGTTTCATTGCACTCATTCTTCTAGTGAAAAGTTTAAGATATAATATCTTTTTTTTATTTTTCTCCACACATTACATTTTTTCTTTTTTCATTAACTTCTTTCTAACTGTATGTCTTAATAATTTTAGATTCGCTTAGAGAAGAATGTTCATAATATGTCAAAGTTGAAATATCACCACAAAGATGGGTCAAAATCATTTTTGTCCACCAAGAGCAAATTGTAAGACACTTTTTAGTTTTGCTTATAAATTTGTAACTTTATTGTGTACATATATATATGCTGAAAAAGAAAATATGTTTGAAAGCAATAGGAAGCATAGACTAGAGAGATGCAAGGTGCAATTGATTGTTTTGAAACAGAGTATAGAAGCACAAAAAAGGATGGGACTTGGGAGCAAAGGAAAAATGGGTAAGTTACGTGTCAATGATGCATGTTTTTATAATATTTTAAGATTATAGGTAAAACTGATATTACTGTTCTAAAGAGGATTATATTAATTAGGTTGTACTTGAGAAGTTGAATATGATTGATCTAAATATATTTTTTACTTGTAGGATCAAATAATAAAGATGCGAGCAGATACCACTCAACCTAATAGAACTTGAACAACGACAGATGAGGAAATTTGTGCAAAAGTTCTCAAAGTCAAATCAGGCTACATTAAGGGCTATGATTTTGGCCCTAGACCATCACCATTAAGGTTCTCCCATTCTTTGATGAGTGAAATGTCTGAAAAGAATAAAGAGTTGCAAGAACAGCTTCAAGAGACCCAACAACTTGTAGGAACTCAACAACAAAAGATCGATACGCAAAATGAGGTAATTCAAAGATTGGAGGAGCAAGCCAAAAAGTTTGAGGAGTTTATGGCTTATTTTTCCAAGCAACATCCATCAGCTTAGTATTCTTAGTGAACTTAAACTTGAAGAAATGTTTCTTTGATCGTGTTGCATTTGTTATTGCTTTAGACTAGCAATGTTACTTATGGTAAAAATTTACTTGCTTTATTTATTTTAATTATTTTAATGTACTGTGGTGACAATTGATGACAATTATTTATATTTTGAGCGTTTTCTCGTAATAACATTATTATTGATGAAATAAAATTTCCTCATTATAAGTTTTCTCACTATATATTTAGGTCGATGAAAGCAAATTTCCTCGAAATAGACAATACAACTTAAGGTGATGAAAATATGTTTCCTCGCAATAGGTTATATACTTACGTTGTCAAAAGTATATATCCTCGTTATAGAGTATATAACTTACCTCGTCAAAAACATATTTCCTCGTTATAGCGGTACAACCTACATTGACGAAAGTAATCCTATAGGCTATATACTTACGTCGTCAAAAGAATATTCCTTGTTATAGAGTATACTACTTACGTTGACAAAAATTCCTCGGTATAGTGATACAACCTATAACGACAAAAGTAATTTTCCTCGCTATAGACCATATAACCTATATCGACAAATATAAATTTTCTCGTAATTGAATTTCTTTGGCGAGGAATATGGGGTACAACCTACAACAATAAATTTAAATTTCCTCGTCTTTGAATCCCTTTACTGAGGAACTGTTTCCACGAAAAAAGATACATATAATGAAGAAAATCAATTTCCTCGTTAAAGATTTACCTTTGGTGAGGAACAATTTCCTCGCTGAAAGATACTTACAACGATGAAAATAATTTTTTAGACTTTTTATTATATAAATTAAATATTATTCAAGTATCATTGGCGAGGAAACTATAGTTTAGAGATGAGAAATGTATAAGATTAGGTGAGTAAAAATATCGAGGCTAAAGAGTAATAACGAGAAAAGAATATATTCATCGCAAAAAGGATTTCGCAAGAAATTATAATATTCCTCGCAGAAACTTTTCTTGATCATCCTACCACGAGAAAATGGTGACCAAATTTTTTTCCTCGCCAACACACTACGACGAGGAAATCTCGACTTTTAATGACAAACTTGTTCTTCTAATTTCGATTAACTTTGATTAATAATTATGATATGCATATTCCGCCTTTATATGTCATGTTGCCAACAGATTAAGAATTATAATTTTGTATTCTGACATGCTCCTGTAGGTTGATTATTCTTTTCATAAGTCGAAACCCACATTCATAGAGTGAGTATCTTTTTTTTTTTTTAGATTAAACTTGTCAGTTGTGGCTAATAAGATTTGTTTTGAATTTTTGATGCCATGTTAAAGAAACCTATCATTATACCAAACCTATGAAATCTAGAAGTTGAGGCTCATAATTTTATACTTTTAAATGTTTATTATTTTATGGTGTAGAGTTCACTTTTTCGTCATATAATAGCCGGTTCTCAACAATACTTACCCCATGTTATGGGCTATAATATGGATCGAGCTCATGCGAATCCAAAGTTGACTTAGAATTTTGATCTTGTGAAGTTCATTAATATCGGACAAGAAAGAGTTTCTTTCACCGTTGAAGCGTCAAATAAACAAAGCACATGAACTAATTAATAGTAGTGTATTTTTTGAAAAAGAAAACGAAAGAAGAAGCTTAGTGATATATCGGCCAATGTTCCTCTTGTTCGTTCTTTATAAAAGGAAGATATACTAATGAAGATATCTGAACATTCTAGTTGCTGAAGAAAGCGATTGTGGGCAGTCCATCCATTACGATATAGTTAGAACGGCAACGTCACTTTATGCCCCTCTAAAAGGGCCGGAAAATAAATATTAATATTATTTTTTGAATTGTTGATGCGATCAAAACATATTTGGCTAAATTACCAAACTAGTATTCTAAGTTAACCCTTTTTGTCAATATGGTGTTGTGTTTTTCTCCGGCATGCATCAATAAGGTCTTTTTTTGTTTCGGCAGTGAGATATATCCGGTGAGGTAGTCAGATGAGGTTACATGGCATATTTTAACTATTTTTTTGAAGGCTGATGTAGCAGGGATCATCTGGCATATTCTAAGTTAAATATATGAACGCTTCAATCAAAAGAGGAAAAAAGTAGGGTAAAATTGGGGAGACCTTGAAATTGAGGCTGAAATATAATAAGCTTAAAAAAAGGAGAAATTGAGTAGGGAACAAGGAAGATGCAACCATCAAATCCTAATATTCACTTGCAAGAAACCAACTGTTTGACATCAGACTCTTAACTGTTTAACATTCATGTGTAGATGTAATAATCTTGCCAAGAGGTCAGGTGTGACAATTTGTCAAGAGGGTACAAAGATTCTTACTATTTTTCGCTCGTGGTTGACAACTCAGCAACCTCAACAAATCTTTTGCCTCACGATTCCGCATCATCGCCAAAATCACACTCTTCAAGTTCTCATTCCTCTAATTTCTATTACAACAAGTTCTCCCTCCTTCAATTTCCCTCCCTCTCTAGCTCTTTAAGTTCAAAAAGGGCAAATGTAGAGAACATGGTGAATCTATCTAATCTGGGGCGATTTGGCATTTTTAGGGTAGTTATTACACCCGCATATCCCTTGCCAAATCATCAATCCACGACAAATGGCGAATCATGTGAAAAACATGCACGCTATGTTCATGGGATTTTTATGGCTCGAATTGAAAATATTGAGCCTTATTGCACATTAAACCCAACTTAGAATACTTAATTAAAGCCAAACATAACCTGAATATCATATTGGCAAAAAGGGTTAACTTATAATACAAATTTGATAATTTAGCCAAATATATTTTTTTTGCATGTAATTCAAAACATCACATACATATTGGTCAATATTCGTACAAGAAATATGGTATGCTTTATTGTCTGGCAAGACAAAATCTAGACAATAAAAATCTAAATGCTAGATGCTTGATGTTGATTATGTGCATAAGATTGCCTTGTAGAAATCTTAAATCACAATTGTTTTGACTAGAACAGTTATGATCATTCCAAATGCCTCTGTGCCTTGCATTATTCTTATTTTCATTTAAACGCACCAGTGTCCACACTTGCATTTATTACTTCAGAAGAAGGGCAATAAAAGTTAATTATTATCATGTTACTATGGCGACAAATTGCAACATATTATTTGAAGCTAGGTATGGAGAGAGCAAAGAAGCAAATTAGATAACGAAAATTAGTGGGGGTTTGTTAGAGTGTCACATCCAAAAGGAGCTCAATTATGTGATAGGACACCCATAATAACATTTAA